AGGCTGGCCTCGAACTCATAACAATCCTCCTGCCTTAGCCTCCCGAGTGCTGGGATTACAGGTGTGCACCCCTACGCCTGGCATAGATCCTACATCTTAAGTAAAATTGTTAAATTTGTTCCTTTCAAAAGCTGTCTGAGCAAATCTTAAAGAAAAAGAGTATCTTTAGCAACTGTTATTGCAGTGTGAATGTTCTTAATTTCCTAATTATGTAGTAATTTTAAGAATAGTGTTTGTAATATATGTCAAAGATAAAGTGCACATATAGACAACATAATAATGGATTTTAATTAGTACTGATAGTGTCAGATGCAATGTTTTCTAGGAAGAAAAATGTATGACAGTAATCTTGTATGTTTATTCAGATGAATTACTTGTGTATATATAGCTTTTATTCACATTGTAGCCCTAATTAGTATAACAGTAGTAAAGTTTTGAGATTATCATAGGAAAATAGTAGTAGATTTTTCTGGCTGTCCTTAAAAAAGACAAATAAAACAGGTTCAGTGGTGTATGCCTGTAATCCCAGCTACTTTGGAGGTTGAAGCTGGAAGATTGGTAGTTCAAAGGCAGTGTGGACAACTCAGACCCTGTCTCAAAATAAATAATAAAAAAGGGCTGGGATGTAGCTTAATGGTGGAGGGCTTGCCTAGTATTTGTAAGGCCCTGGGTTCAATCCCCAATATTGCCAAGAAAAAGAAAAACTAAAACCTCTGATAAGCTAAATGCTCTAGCTTCTTTGAAAATTTATTAACCAATATGCTTATATCCTATTCTCTTGGCAGTAAATTAGAAAAATGGAAAAAGTAGTTCTCTTCTCATGCATTTTGTTATACTATACATTAAATCATGAACTTTGTGTATGTGTGCATATATGTGTGTGCATGTGCATGGGCAGTACTGGGAATTGAGCCGAGGGCCTTCCTTTGTACTGAGATACATCCTTAGCCCTTTAAAATTAAAAAAAAAAATTGAGACAAGGTCTTGCTGAGTTACCCAGGCTAGTTTTGAACTTTCAAATTCTTCTGTCTGAGCCTCCCAGAATGTTGGAATTACAAGTGTGCACCACTGCCCTTGGCTAAAACATGGGCTGATGCCTCTTCTTCTCCTTCTCCTCCTCCTTCTTATCCTCCTCCTCGTCCTTCTCCTTCTCCTTCTTGTTTGTTTTGAGACAGGGTCTCACTATGTAGCTTGGGCTGGAATTGAACTTGGGATCCTTCTCACTCAGTCTCCCAAGTGCTGGGATTATAGGTTTGCCTACCATGCTGTTTTATATCATGGACTTCTAACTATAACTGTGCTTAAAAAATTCTAATGGAGTGCCAGGCATGGTGGTGTATGCCTGTAATCCCTAATTAATATAACAATAGTAGTACCCAGGAGGCTGTGGCCGGAGGATTGCTGTGAGTTTGAGGCCAGCCTGGGCTACATAGTGCATTCAAGGCCAGCCTGAACAAAATAGTGAGACCCTGTCTCAACAACAACCAGAAAAATCTAATGATGTAATCTGATGTGATTATAAGTTGAATAAAAAAGGTTTCTTTGCAGTACTGTAGTCTACTAATGAGCCTGAAAAAAAATTTTTTCCCAGTCAGATCTTACTGGTACATTTTAGGTATATATAATGATCATATTCATCACAGAGAATTTGTACCTGTAGATGATATAACTTCGGTCATTTTTCCCCCATTCCCCCACCCTCCCTTCAACCTCCCTTCCTCTTCTTATTTACAAAAGCTGTTTCTATTATTCCTTCTTGTCTCATTTTTTTTTACTTTTCCCTTTTTTCCTTTTTCCCTCCCCTTGCCCTTGTTCTCTTGCCCATTGGAACATTTTCTTCGTATTTCACCATACCTATCATACATTTCAGTCCATATTTACATTTTCAGTTTCTCACACCAAGAAACAATTCGATATTTACATGTGTGTGTCTGATTTATTTCGCTGAAGAGTATGGTCTCAAGGTACATCCATTTACTTAGAAATGTTTTGAGCTTATCCTTTATGGCAGAGTAGTGCACCATTGTATAAAAGCCACATCTCTTTATCCATTTACCAGTTGATGGGTATTAGGGCTTTTTCGAAGATTTGGCTATTACAAACTGTGCTGTTGTAAACATGGGTGTGCATATATTGCTATGATATGATGCTTTTAATTTTGGGGGGAAGATACCGAGAAGGAGATCGCTGGATCAAATGGAATCTCTAGTTCTAGTTTTTTGATGAATCGCCCCCACTGATTTCTAGTGGTTGCACCAGTCTACACTCCTACCAACAGTGGAGAAGGGTTCTTTTTCCCTATAGCCCTACCAGCATTTGTTATTGGTTGATCTCTTAATAATAGCCATTCTGGGGTAGAATGGAATCTCAGCATTGTTTTAATTTATATCTCTCAAATGACCAGTGACTTGAAATTTTTTTCATATATTTATTTGCCGTTTGTACTTCTTCATCTGACAAGTGTATATTCATCTCAGATGCCCATTTTAGATTGCCCATCTTTACATTTGAGGGTGTCTGTTTTTTTGAGTTGAGTACTACTACAAAGTAGTAATCCTTTGTCTGAGGAACACTGGCAAAAATTTCTTCCCCACACTGTGGGTTGTCTCTTTACTCTGCTGATTGTTTATTTTGCTGTGCAAAAGATTTTTAATATGATGAGATCCTAGTTGTTGATTCTTTGTGATAGTTGCTGTGTGATCAGGGTATTGTTTATAAAATCTTTGCCTACACCTGATGTCTCCTAGAGTTCTACCTACTTTATTTTCCACTAGATTTAATGTTTCTATTTTAATATTTAGGTCTTTGATCCATTTCTATTTTAGTTTAGTGTATGGTGGAAGGTATGGTCTAATTATAATTTTGGACATGTAGCAAACCAGTTTTTCCAGCATCATTTATTAAAGAGTCTATCTTTTTTTCCAATGAATGTGTTTGGCAACTTTGTGAAAGATAAGGTGGCTAAGTATGTCTGGAGTTGTTTCTGAATCTTCTAATTTGTTCCATTGATTTTTGAGTCTGTTTTTTTGCCAATACCATGCTGTTTTTATAATAATAGTTTTGTAGTATAATGTCAAGTATGGGATTGTGATGGTCCCACCTTGCCTTTGTTGCCCAGAATTGCCTTTGCTATTCTAGGTTTCTTCTGGTTCCATATGAATTTTAGAACTGTTTTCTCTAATTCTGTGAGATGTGCTGTTGGAATTTTGATCAAAATTGCATAATCTGTATAACAATTTTGGAAATGTGACCGTTTTTACTGTACTGATTCTTCCCACCCAAGAACCAGGGATATCTTTCCATTTTCTGATATCCTCTTTAGTCTTCTTTTTCAGAGTACTATAGTTTTCCATGTAGAAGTTTTTTACTTTTTTTGTTAGATTGATTCCTAGGTACTTCATTTTGGGGTTGCTATTGTGAAAAGTGTTGTTTCCCTAATTTCTCTCTCAGTGAGCTTGTTATTTGTGTGCAGGAATGCTATTCATCTTTGAGTGTTGACTTTGTAAACTATGCTACTGAATTTGGTTATTAAATCTAGAAGTCTTTTCAGTGGAGTTTTTGGGATCTTCTATGTAGAGTATCATGTCATCCACAAATAATAGTAATTTAGCTTCTTCCTTTCCTATTTTTTTTTTTTTTTTGAACTGGGAACTGAACTCAGGACCTCATGCTTTCCAGCTAGGCCCCATGCCACTGAGCTATACCCTGGGCCTCTCCTTTCCTATCATTATTCCTTTTATTTCTGTCTCTTGTCTAGTTGTTCTGGTTAAAGTTTCTAGAACTATATTGAATAAGGGTGGTGACAGTGGACATCCTTGTGTTGTTCCTGATTTTAGAGTAAAAGCTTTCATTTTTTGTGATATTGGCTACTCGTTTGTCACAGGTGGCTTTAATCAGATTGAGATAAAGATCATCTATTCAAATTTTCTGTAGGTTTTTTTTTTATCATGAGTGGGTGTTGGACTTCATCAAAAGTGCATCTGTTGAGGTGATCATACAGTTTTTGTCCTTGGCTCTGTTAATATGGTCTGTTACATTTATTGACTTGTGTATGTTGAACCATCCCTGCAACCATGGGATGAATCCTACTTGGTCATGGTGTATAATCTTCTTGATGATTTGCTGCATTCTGTTTGCAAATGATGCAAAAAAATGCATTTCAATATCTTACTGAGGATTTTTACATCTATGTTCATTTGGGAGATTGACTTGTAGTTCTCTTTCTTAGTTGGGTCTTTCTCTGGTTTTGGTGTCAGGGTAATGCTTGCTTCCAGGAATGACTCTTTGGGAGTATTACTTCTCTTTCAGTTTCATTAAACAGTTTGACAAGTAGTGATATTAGGTCTTCTCTAAATTTCTTATAGAGGCCAGGCATGGTGGCAGGCACTAGACAGCCGCTTTTTAAATTTGATTTAACTAAATAAATTTTATTTTATTGTTATATACTTCTTAGCTAGACAACTATTCTACCAC